ATTACCATCAATTTTTATTTTTATACAAAAATGATCATGCAATAATAATAAAATACCCAATACTATATTAATTATTTTTTAGAACGCACAACATTAATTTTCATTAATACTTAAAAATTTGGTTTTAGTGAAAAATGTGTAATTCAGATATGAAGCTTGTGTTTAGTGAGATGGATACAAATATGGGAAAGGTAAGTAACTTCAAATTATTTGGAGTAATTAGTATGGTTTTAAATTTGATAAATAATTTCTTCCATCTTCGACTCGTTCCCTCCTAATTGTTGATCACATTTAAGCAATTTTTTTTCTTTTCAATTTATTGTCCTTTGTATTTAAATAGTTATGTTATCTATATTATTAATGAAATGTGCAATTTATAATCTTTTCAATGAAAATGTAGACAACTTTATGTGAGGACAAATCGGTATGTTTCTCATCTATTTCGACGTTTTATTTTTATCGATATTGTAATTATAAATAATTACATAAGTAAATGAACATTGATTTCAAGTGAAGCTCACCTATATATAGGTGGCATTAATGATGGATAAAATAGAATTTAACTTTATGTAGTCTCCTTTCAAGTATAGAGTTCATTTTTCATATTGGAGTACTCATAATTTTATATTAATTAAATTAAGCTTAATCACTTAAAATTGAAGCTCATCTACATATATAATTATATTAAACCTATAATATATATATTAATTTATATTGTAATTAATCTACCATTATATTAAAGTAACATTTAATATATATTATATTATATTATATAATTATAATTAAATTACGTTTAATGTATGAGCTTCGATTTTAAGTAGTAAAATTAATCTAAATAATGTAATTTAAGTAATTAAACTAAATTTGATTAATGAAAAATTCTAAGTACTCCAATATAAAACAATAAGCATTACACTTAAATGGATTTTAAATGAAGTTAAGTTATATTAAACGGTGCTATATTAAATATAATGGTAGAATTGACATATAACTAAATATATAATGATAAAGTTGGTGCAGTATTCCAAGCTTAATTCTTATTTGGCTTTTGGCATTTAAATTTAAAATTGAGGTTATCCAAATAAAACCGAATTTAAAAAGTTGTTAGTTTTGGGAATAAAAGAACAACTAGAAAATCAATTTCATAAAAATCTTCCAATAGAAAATTTAGTTACTTTTAGCTGCATCCAAATAAGATTTTTTTTTCACATAAAAATTCATCTCCATTTACAGTAGGAGAGAAATTAGAGCACAAAAAAATAAAAATAAAAATCGTAGTCTAATCTAATTAGATTCTCATTTTAAGTTCATATAAGTTGTATCGCGTCATAGTTGAGAAATATAAAACCTAAATAACCAATTTATAAGGTACAATCCAACTAGATAATACATTGGATTTCTGGAGTGTCAAGCGCCATCTGATCTTAATTAAGCTACATATAAGGGTATGATACGGATTGTGAATAGTCAAGAATTGTAAACCAACAAATTAAGAATTAATAGCATGACTTAAATAGTGATAATGACATTTTAATCATTTTCATTATCTTATATATCTAATTTATTATTTTTATTTTTGGAATTCATTGGCCGACCATAAAGAGTAATGTGATGTGATGCATAAGAAATCATCTCAAGGTATTACAAAAATCTTTTCTAGCCACACTCCCTCCTTGATTGCTTCAAAAGTTGCCACATACTCTTACCTCCAATTCTAACGTGAACGCTTATCTTGATGTGGGCTTACATGAGCCCCTATCGACTTGAAGATCAGATTCGATATAACTCGTCATAACTGAAGTTGAATAAACCATTATATAATCTCTAATTTTACGAAGATACTTGATTATATGCTTAACAATTGTCTAGTGTTCTGCTTCCGAATTTGACTAATATATATTGACCATTCAAATAGCAAATTAGCAAATATATGATCGTGTGCATAGTATGTTATACACAAGGCTTCCTAAAGTCGAGAGATAATAAATCTGCTTCTTGTATTCCACTTCGTTATGTGCTTCACGGTAATGCGTCTGTGACAAATGAATTTAATGTCCAAAAAGCATTTGAACTTTCTTCGCATACCAAATCTCATTAGTATTTTGTCTATATTATGAAGCTTGAAAGAGAGCAATTCTTCCCTTCTTCATAAGGCTGAAAAAATGGTCATTTGAGAAGGCTGAAAAACTCGTGTATAATGGGTTTCCTTTTCCAGTTTGAGAAGTTATTTACTCTCCATGTAATTGGTATTTTACTTTCGACCACATAGTACAAGATATGTTGTTAGTTTAAATTTTTTATTCAGAGCTTGTTTGGAAGAATTTTTGAAAGAAATATGAATTATTTTTGAAAAATATATGATATAAAATAAATTTATGGGTTTCATAAATTTTGCGGGTCAAAATGATTTTTGACAAAATCAATCTCAAACAAGCCCTCAATAAAGTATAAATGGATTTATATTTAGTGCTTGTAGGATAAATCTTCAAAATTAATGTCAAAGTCAATAATTAAATGTAACCACATATTTCATAGAATTAGTGGTGTCAAACGAGGTCATCGGCCCGGATGACACGTGGCTTGACTCGAAAAAAGTCCAAGCCAGCTCTAAGCTTGTTTGTAAGAGACAAAGCTTCGGCCAAGTCTCAAAAATTAGATTTGGCCAGAGAGCCGCACAAACCCAAATACGAGCAGGGCCCATGTGGAGTACCTTGGATTTTGGATAGGGGTGCCACCGATTACATGCTTTGCTCACTTTCTCTCTTCTTGCCTAGCACGCCTTGTTACTTGCTCTTTAAACCACTTGCATAATTTATTTATTTTTGTAACTTAATGACCACTTATTTTGTATTCAACAACTTCGATAATTACTTTTGTAGTTTTTAAATTATTTTTATAGTTTGTAAATTAACGATCAATATTTTTATTCAAGTAAACAAGGAAAAAAAAAATGTAAAAGCTCGTGAGCCAGATAGGATAGAGCCAAAATCGGGGCACGAGCCTAGCTCAAGCTCGGCTCTAGCCTCTTTTTTAAAGACAATATCGAGACCCGAGCTTGGGCTGGCAAGCCAGCTCAACTCTGCTCGTTGTTACTACTATATAGATCCCACAATTAATACTTAATTTTTGGCCAATCATTCCGTGAAATCCATCACTCATTCTTATCAAAATCAACTTTTCAACCGTCTCAAAATTATATGGTATGTGCTTCTCTGCTCAATAAATTTACACATTTTATTCCGGCCTAAAATTTCTTCCGAGAAGTCTAGTAGGAAATTTGTAAATAGTTTTATATTGACCTTATTACAAAGTTTTGCAGTTCCCCCCCCCCCCCCCCGAAC